ACGCGCACACACACGCACACACACACACACTCGCACGCGCACGTACACACGCACACACATACACACATACACACATACACACTGCAAGTAAAACATCGAAGGGAAGTACAGGAAAACACATGAATATGCCGATGGCCTTTTCGCATCTACTGCCTCATCAGGGGATCAGGCAGGCCCTTCAATTTGTTCGACATGAATTCCACACAAACACACAGACATACAGACACACACACATACACACACACATACACACACACACACGCACACACACACACTGACGCACACACACACACACACACACACACACACACACACACACACACACACACACACATATATATATATATATATATATATATATATATATATATATATATGTATATATATATATGTTTATATGTATACATATATAAAGTGACCATAGATAAGATATACAAATGTAAATATTTCCTATCATCTCAGTAGGCGCTGCTATACACTAGTCTGAAGAAATGTCTGCAGTGTTGCGTCTTTTATGTCATGTTATTACGGTAACAAGTGCAATTATGGCCTTAATGTGCGTTACAAACTTTCTTCCTTTAATATCACGCTCCTTAAACACACGTAAGTATCTATATAATACTTCTGTCCCTATTAATTTCTAACTATACTTTGACTAAATCATTTCTAATCTAAATAAAGACAAAAGTTATAATAGTTGAGAATTAATTCCTCCCAATCTCTATACGAAAGGAACAATCCCATTTTTCTTAGTTAATTAATTACCTAATTAAGAAAAAAATATACTCCAATTAAGAAGAGAAAGAAAGAAAGAAAGAAAAAAAATAATTTATTATTCCCAAGCCACTGTATAAAACACATTAACTTTCATTTCTAACGATGTTTGCTTAAACCAACCCTACACTAAATAAAAAAAACAAAAAACGAATGAAACCTCAATAAGAAAAGAAAGGAAAAGTAAGAAAGTGAAAAAATAAGAACGCAAAAAAATAAGAAAACGAAAAAATAAGAAAACGAGAAAAATAAGAAAACGAAAAAAATAAGAAACGAAAAAATAAGAAAACGAAAAAAATAAGAAAACGAAAAAAATAAGAAAACGAAAAAATAAGAAAACGAAAAAATAAGAAAACGAAAAAATAAGAGAAAGAAAAAAAATAAGAAAACGAAAAAAATAAGAAAGCGAAAAAATAAGAGGAAAAAAAATAAGAAAACGAAAAAAGAAGAGAAAGAAAAAAATAAGAAAGCGAAAAAATAAGAAAACGAGAAAAATAAGAAAACGAAAAAATAAGAAAACGAAAAAAAAAGAGAAAGAAAATAATTAAATCCCCCCCTATCTACAACCCATCCCTACCCAAAAAAAACAACAACCAACACCCTTTATTATCCCTTCGTTCTGGGCAGCTAGTGTAACCGGACCTTCCCCCCCCCCTTCCTTGGCTGGCTGAGCGGGAGACACTGCGCATGGAAGACCGCTGGGACTCTCGGCTCGAGCTCGTGGACACAGACAGTATCACGCCCTCGGTCTTGGTGGACACGCGCGCCCTCTTTCTCCTCCTCGCGCTGTAAGGAAACGAGGGCGGTGGTGGTGGTCTCTCGGGGGGTGGGGTGGGGGGTGGGGTCTCTCGATCGTCTTTTGTTTTCCGTTTTGTGTTTGTGTTCGGTTTTTTGTTTTGTTTTTTTAGTCTTCGATTTTTGGCGCGTTCGGAAAGGGGTCGGGGATGTACAGAGTGATAATGATTTGTTAAAATTATGTTTATTGTTTAGTTTATCTTCATGCATTTTTTTGTTTGTTTGTTTGTTTGTTAAGGGCTCGGTGATTTTAATTCATTCTTAAATCCTTTTCGTCAGTGATTTCGCAAATACAAACATCAGTAAACACGTTTCTAAATGCTCCTTCATAATCTCTCATTCTGTGCAATTTTTCAAAAGCTCTATGGTTTTGTTCTGCCGATGGTTATTCAATAATATATTCAATTTCAGCGGGAATAGTCTGGTAAGACTAACAATTCCTTGCTTTTCTTAATTTCTATAACAGTGGAAAGTTGAACAAGAACATAAAAGCTGAACTCTCCGAAACGAACTTTAAAAAAATAAATGACTTTGGTTAACAGTTAAAAAAACGGTATTTAAAAGCTTCAGACAACTCTGTTTCAGGAAGATGTAAGTATCTTTTCTTTTTTGTAATGTCGCAGAGCTTTGTAATATATATAAGACAGACACACAGAAAGAAGCACACACGCGCGCGCGCGCGCGTGTGTGTGTGTGTATTGTATGTGTGTGTATGTATGTATATGTATATATGTATGTATATGTATATATATATATATATATATATATATATATATATATATATATATACAGATATGTATGTATATGTATATATATATATATATATATATATATATATATATATATATATATATACATATATGAATATATCATGAAAATATAAGTGTGTATGCCTGTGTATATATGTGTACATACATATTTATATACACAG